GAAAAGATGTAGCTGGGGATTGAAAAAGCACCCTTGAGTCTTTGTAAATGAGAAGCAGAACCGTTACTTCAAATGCTTTGTTTTGTTCCACCGAAAAGAAGAAAGCGAACCAACTGCAGTGTTTGCTCAAATTCTACTCTAGCTGTTAAAGATGAAATAAGAGAATACAGGTACCACAAAAGGGACAACATGGACACAGTGGTGTTACACAAGAGACCAGTCACCAAAGGGGACACCTGGACCATGGTTCTGAATCTCCATGTGTATAGGGTGAGGTTTAGTGTAGGTAGTAGAATTACTTTTAATTTTTATTGCCTGTTTTAAATGGTTATATTTACTTCAACAATGAAAAGTTTCCACACAGTGACCTCCTACCCAGACCAGTTAATTCAGTGGCCATGGCATTTGAGTTTGCCATCGATCATTCCCATCAAAATTGCCTTGTTTGTGCCTTAGTCATCCATTATACATCCCATGCAACACAAGAGTAAGCTAAGACATCCGTGTGAGATTTGGATGGCCAGATCTCTTACCGTAATACACTACCACTAGTGTTACAAAATGTAACAAAGAAATACACATCCAATGCCAGGTCAGAGATCTCTGATTGTCTTCCCAGAAATAAAACAAAAATGCCAAGCTTGTGGTTCACTCAATCTCTAGGAATACTGGATATACTATTTTAAACTTTGTTCTGCATGGAATCATAGAAAACAATGGTATCATTTTCAAGGAGAATTTCAAGACTGGAGGGGTCTTCCTTGTTCTCCATTTCTTTCTTAATGGCGTTTCAAGCCATTTATAGATTCAGTAGTAGATACATTTTGTGTGGCTGTACATCCATACACTCCTCTATGCCCATCTCACTCTTCCAGATCTAGGAAGTCCCACATATTTCAAAATTCCAAATAATTGATATTCTAGATTCCATCCCTCCCACTCTTAGCATCGCATCTCGTTCAGAGAACTGCCAGAAGTTACAAAGAATTTCACATAATATATGTCTACCACTTACTTTGCTTAATTTCCATGGTCAAATAGTGTTTTCAGGCAAGAATTCTCAAAGGATCATCAGCCCTCCCTGGGAACTTCTTAGAAAGGCAAACATTTGGTTCCACCTAATCTTTAGACCTAATGATTCAAACTCAGGGCTTGGGCCCCACTTCATAGAGTTTATGAGCCTACAGATGGCTCGGATGAATAGTGATGTTTGAGGGTGCTTAACTATCTCCCCCCATTCTGCTCTGATAAATGCAAAAGTCTTTTACTTGGTCTTTCTGCTCCCACTCTTGCCACCTTCAGTTCATTATCTGCCCAGCAATGAAGAGGGAGGGAGGGTGATAAAGAGAGAGACAGAGACAGAGGATAGGCAAAAACACTCTAGCATTCTTTGTTCAGGAGATATCTAACTTGCTCTTTGAGACAGTGTCTCTCACTAGAACCTAGGTTCGTCAAATATACTAGTCTGTCTGGCCAGTGAGTCCTGGAGATGCCTGTCTCTACTCTTCTAACACTGAGATTACAGTGCATGTCTCCACATCCATTTTTTAAATGTAGGTGCTAGGGACTGAACTCACGATCACGTATTTATACAAGTAGCACTTTTACCCACTGAGATATCTTGCATGTGACTCAAAGTGATGTTTATTCTTAGATTTTTAAAATAAACTGAAGAATATTTTTATTTTGTATCTATGTAGTCACACCTTTCCTTGACTTTAAGTAGATTTTAAATTATCTGAGAAATGAAATTAAGTGGTTTTCCCATTGTGTGCAAGAAACTGTATTAATATGACTGCATGTTAGTCCCATACCTCTTATGTCATCTTCCTCATTTACTATTTCTGGCTAAGTCTTTTGACTTATATCAGTGGATTTCCATCCCTTAGATCCCCCCTTCTCATTTCCACTGTCCTGTTTCTCATCACTTCTTAATCACACTTTGTAATTTTTGCATGCATGTTTGTTCAGTCATGCACCTTATAGCTGTATACTAAGTTGTCAGTTGTGGGAGATATGGGATTGCCTTTGTTTATCGTCACTGTGTACCTCTCATGGTACTTATCACAGGAAGGATATCTAAGAATCAAAATGATAACAACTTGCTCAATGCTCAAATTCATACAGTTCTTATGAAGGATGATTTTAAACAAAACAAAATGAGTGTGCTTAAGGACTCCCAGATTATACTCTAGTAGGTAAGGGCCAGGCAAGACTTCTTTTCCCCCCCTTTTTAAATATAAATTAGAAACAAGCTTCTTTAACATGTCAATTCAAGTTCCCTCTTCCTTCCCTCCTTCCATGCCCGCCACCGACCCTCTATGACATCCCATTTTTTCTCCCTAGGGAGGGTGAGGCCTTCCATGGGGGATCTTCAAAGTCTGTCATCATTTGTAGCAGGGCCTAGACCCTCCACCATGTGTCTGGGCTGAGAGAGTATCCCTCTATGTGGAATGGTCTCCCAAAGTCCATTCGTGTACTAGGGATAAATACTGATCCATTACCAGAGGCCCCACAGATCAACCAGACTTCCAAACTGAATCCTTTTTCAGGGGGTCTGGAACAGCCTTATACTGGTTTCCCAGCTCTCAGTCTGGGGTCCATGAGCAACCACTTGTTCAGGTCAGCTGTTTCTGTGGGTTTCTCCAGCCTGGTGTTGACCCCTTTGCTCACCTCTTCTCCCTCTCTCCAATTGGATTCCAGGATTTCAGCACAGTGATTAGCTGTGGGTGTCTGCTTCTGCTTCCATCAGCTACTGGTTAAAGGCTCTAGGATGGCATTTAAGGTAGTAATCAATCTCATTATAGGGGAAGGGCATTTAAGGTAGCATCTCCACTATTGCTTAGATTGTTAGTTGAGGTCATCCTTGTAGATATCTGGATATTTCCCTAGTGCTGGATTTCTCTTCAAGCCTATAATGGGTCCCTCTATTATGGTATCTCTTTTCTTGCTCTCCTCTTTTCTTCTGTCTTCTGTCTTCCTCTCCCTTCCTCTTCTTCTCCTCCTCTTTTCTTTCTTCTAACTCCCTCTCTCCTCCTTTCATGCTTCCAATTAGCTCAGGAGATCTTGCCCTTTCTCCTTCTCTGGGGGACCATGCATGTCTGTCTGTTTCTCTTAGGGTCCTCCTTGTTTCCTAGCTTCTCTGGCAGTGTGGATTGTAGGTTGGTAATCCTTTGAATTCTTATGGATATGGAAAAGTCATAACTTCTAGAAACTTAGCATTGGTACTGAAGTATATATTGAGAAACCCTAATAACAAATTTAATTTCCTCTCTGAGGTATAGTCATAATTTCTGCATAAGCCAAAGTGCTACAAGTCTTGATTATATGCCTTCAATCTTGGATGATTGCATTTGTACCACAGGGATACCAAAGAAGAACAGTTAGGCAGGCCATACTGCTGCTTTGCTTTTCTTCTTCTTCTTCTTCTTCTTCTTCTTCTTCTTCTTCTTCTTCTTCTTCTTCTTCTTCTTCTTCTTCTTCTTCTTCTTCTCCTCAGACTGTATGGCCTCTGATCATAATTTCCAAAATTCTGGAAACACAAACTTGATTCTAGTTTTTTATCACTACATCCTAGATTTACCTTCTGAGAGACCTTTTCCGTTTATTTTTTGTTTTATTTTTTGAATATAAGTTTGGTATGTCTTGGATTTGGCATAATATCAGCTGCTTCCTTGACTCTTGCCCTTAGCCATGGTTGGTGTATGCTAACTGACTCCATTACTTTTAGATACCAGATCACAATCATTTTGGATAGGGAAGAGCCAAGTGTCAATGAAGTTGGCACAGGGAAATTTGTGAGCATGATAACTGGTCAGCAGTACTTTCACTAATTCCTAAATCCTACTGTCATACTCTAGACTTTCACCTCCAGTTATCTATTATTTTTATTTCTGACTATGAGTTTCCTACACACTTCAGATTTAACTTGACTTCTCTTCCTGGATGATCACATTTGTGCTTCTCATGACACCAAAAAAGAGGTACATCTTAGGAATGTCAGCCTCTATTTCATAAATTGTTACAGTGCCCCTGAGGTACAAACTGGGGAAGGTCACAGGCATACTTTACCCCCTTTTAATGAGATACCCCCTTTTAATGGATTATCTGTAATGGTTTCTATGATGATCAACCTTATATGCCACTATGACTGGACTAAAAGACACATATGTATTCAGTCAAATATAATCCTGTGGATGCCTCCAAAGCTATTTCTAGATAAATTCAGTATCTGAGTCAGAGACTAAGTAAAAGAGATGGTCCTTCTCACAGTCTACCATTCCCCAACCTGGCATGTGTCTCAGCCAATCCAGTCAAGGACGAAAGAGGAAATAAAGATGGAGTAAGAGAGAATGTGCTCTGTTTTTAAGAGGGACATTGGCTAACAAGTAGCTGCTCAGTTACGTTCATACTCTTTAGAAAGAGAAGTTGCACAGAGGTATTGTTATAGGGTAGTAATTCAGAAAACAGAGTCTTAAAACAGAATGACAGAAAAATCATTCAAAATTTTTATTGCTGTCAAAAAGAGAAAGGGAGAGGTATCAGTCTCTTACACAAATAAGTTTTTAAAATAAAACTCATTAGAAATATGAGTCAGATTCAAAGAAGGGTTTCCCAGAATTAAAGACTAGTATATAAACTCAATACCAGGTCCTCGAGCTATTTCAGCAGGTATAAGGAAGGCATTTGCTAACAATCTTTAAGGCTTGAGTTTGACCTCAGCATCTCACATGGTAAATAGAGAGAGTTGACTCCTTCAGGTTGTCATCTGACCTCCACATACATGCCTCCCCTCAGCCAAACTCAATGCACACAATTCTTGTCATCATTACCATCATTATTATACAATTCATGGATGGGTTATCATGAAGCCTGGAACAAATTGCAAAGTTCCCTTTATATGTGCATAAACACATAAACAGGAAACAAACATCTACTTAACAAAATTAATACCCCAATTATTGTCATACCAGGAAAAGAGAGGAACAATCAGAACTCACATTGAGTTGAAGTTCATCTGTCCACTGTCCAATGAGACGATAACCAGGGTTGGTGGTGTTTGTTGTCTGGTATTGGAAGATATCATACCGCCCAGGAGCATCCCCATTTTTGTTAAACATCACTGGGGTACCAGCACTACCTGAAGGGGACAAGAAAAAACCAGAATGAAGCAAGATTCCTTCCACCTTCTGAGTGATAAAGTTAGGAGCTAACCCTATAGCTAGTAAGATGACCTCTAATGTCCTCTTCAGCTCATGGCAGGTCATCTCTGTAGTTTCTTCACCATGGTAACAGAATGTTGGAAGACATGTTGGAAGACAGCCTGTCTGTTCCTTTAAATGGTGCTATTCTTGGTCTTTCTGAATATTTTCTTCTAAAACTTTTTCCTTCTAAGCAAAAAAATGATCTATGAATTAATTTTCAGAGACAAAAATGTGTTTTAACAAAATGCTGTTGCTAGCTGTGATTGCAGTGTTCATGATGGCAATGGCTATTTTGGTTTGCACTTAACACTAAATTGTAGTTAATAAAGAATAAGTTCAAAAATAGTAATTGTTAAAATTGATACATCATTACAAATAACCAAAATAATTCGCTTAAATGTGTGTTTCTGCCCTGATTGAATTTAAAATATTTCTTGTGTTGATTATTTCTAATTTATAGAGTGCATGTAGGAAATAAATGCCCAGCAGTGTGCCTTGAAGACATTACATAGACATTACTTTCTTTTTCAAGCCATAATTTAGTTAGGTCTTGTTAAAATGCACACTTTTGATGAAAAGTTAGATGCTTCAGCAAGTGGGAGCAAACCTGAGAACATGAGTTAAAATTCTCTGTACCTCTCCTTCTATAGTATAAGAACTGAAATATTAATTTGTTCAGTTAGACAGCTGTTTCACATTTATATTTTTATACACATATACAAGTGAGCTTGTAATAGTGTGGCATTGTCTGGTGTCTGTAACAAAAGTGATGTTGGAGACAGAGACAGAAGGATCAACGAGACTTGTTGGCTGTCAGCCTAACTCCAGGTTCAATAAGAAACCATTTCTCAAGAAATTGTGAGAGATAAGGCCATGAGTGATAGAGTATACCCGATTAGACAAAGAACACTAAACACTAAGAACAAACCCACATTCAGAGAGACTCCATATTAGATTATATGATCCATATGATACAACATCATAGCTAGAACAAACAAACACCTATGGCGATACCTTACTGTAGTTACTAGTTACACATTTTTTGATAGAAATGAATATCAGAAAAGAAAATCAGAGCTTGTGGTGAGGTTAATAATGGTTCCAATATGTCTGTTCTGTAATGCTCTTTACGATGTGACAGATTTCAGGACCATAACATGAGAATCTCCTGTATAATATAAGGTGGCCCAATTTCCTTACATAAAGCTACCTAAAGTAGATACAAATGGAGCCAAAGGTAGTGTATGTGTGTGTGTGTATGTGTGTCTTATGAAAAAAGCATGAGTGATTGAAGACATTCATTATAACTGAAATGAGTTCTAAAATCTATGAAATGGAAGGGAATGGATTTTTCTTCAGTACTCAGAAAGACTCTAGACTTGCCTTCACCATTATAGGGGTCCAGGGAAATCAATGGTGGTCTTCCATATTACAGACCTATGAGGTAGTTCATGTTGTAATGGCTTAACCTTCAAACACCTGGGAAGAGGGAACCTCGACTGAGAGTGTATTTCATCAGATTGGCCTATGAGCATGTCCTGGGTCATTTTATTGATGACTAATTAATATAGGAGGTACCATCACTAGACAGGGGTATCTAGGCCCTATAAAAAAGATAGCTGAATGTGAGCCAGAAAGCAAGCCTTTAAGCAGTATTCCTAAGTGGTAGCCTCTGCTTCATTCCTGCCTCAAGATTCCTGTCTTGATCTCTCACTCAGGAGTCCTTCTGTGATTTCTGTGACCTATTAACCTGAAACAAATATTTTCTTCCTCTGAACTGTTTTGTGGACATGGTGATCATCACTTGGGCAACAGAAAGTCAAAGCAAGCCACATGTGCATTGTTTAAGACATTAGCTTGTGGTTACATTTAGAGGTATGAGGCAGGGTGATTAGGTACGAATTCAAAACACAGCTGGAGGACACAGAGCACCAAACTTCCTCATCTTACAGTTAAGAAATTGCTTACATTCAGGTAGGAAAGGTTTCTTGTGAGTGACTCAGATAAAACCACCAGATAGCACAGATAATTAAGACAAAATAAAACCTAGTAAACATTTTCTTTTTTTTTTATCTTTGGGATATATTTATATTACAGGTTGAACTCTCAGTATCTGCATGACTTGAGTAAAGATGTCAGTCCTTCCAGACCCAATTCTCTGGTGTGCCCAGCTTCAGGTGAGCTTGGGTCTTCCTGGCATACCTCCCCTGACCATCACCCACTTCCTAAATCTTCCACGGGCCTGCTCCTGGCATTGAGAGGAACTGCCTCCACAGGAAAGATGTCAGTCCTTCCAGACCCCACCCCCAGTACACCCAGCTTCAGCTCCAGGTGACCTTGGGTCTTCCTGGAACTCCCTCCCCTGCCCACCACCCACTCCCTCAAACTTCCAGGGGCCTGCTTCTGGCATCGAGAGGACTGGCCCACACAGGAAAGACATGAGCACTTCCAGACCACCCCCCTTGCATCCAGCTTCAAGAAAGAAGGAGACCAGTGGAGACAGAAAGACCCCACCTGCACCCACTGGAAGAAGAGATGGGAAGAATACAGAATAAGAACTCACTCAGCAATAGAAAGACCGACATGACTCCACCAGAATCTAATGCCAACAAGACCTGAAAAGCACAACATAGATGAAGCAGAAGAGACAAACCTTAAAAATTATTTTATGAAGATGATAGAGACCCTCAAAGAGAAAACAATGAAATCCCTTAAAGAAATAGAAGAAAAAACAAAAAATACATGAAATGGAGGAAAAGACAAACCAAAAAATTCAAGACATAAACAAATCTCTTAAAGAATCCAAAGAGGACCAAGAAAAAAACCAACCAAAAAAAAATGAAGAAAACAACTCAAAGAGTTGAAGGATTGAAAGCTGAAATAGAAACAATAAAGAAAACACAGAATGAGGGGATGCTGGAAATAGAAAAGCTGAGTAAACGCAGGAACTACAGATGTAAGTATCACCAATAGACTACAAGAGATGGAAGTGAATCTCAGGTGTTGAAGGCTCATTAGAGGATATATGGTAATCAACTAAAGAATCTCAATCCAATACATACCTAACACAAAATATCCAAGAATATGGGGCACTGTGAAGAAGTCAAACCTGACAATAATAGGTATAGAAGAAGGTGAAGAAATACAGCTCAAAGGTACAGAAAGAATACTCAAGAAAATCAGAGAAAACTTATCTAACCTAAAGAAGGAAATCAAGGGGACGCAAATAGGAAAAGAAGAAGTCAAGCTTTCACTATTTGAAGATGATATGATAGTTTACATAAGTGACTCCAAAAAACTCTGAAAGGGAATTCCTAGAGCTGATAAACACCTTTACCAAAGTGGAAGAATACAAGGTTAACTAAAAAAAATCAGTACCCCTATTATATACAGACGATAAAGTGGCTGAAAAAGAAGTCAGAGAAACACCACCTTTTATAATAGTCATAAACTGCATCAAATATCTGGGTATAACATTAGCCAAAGAAGTGAAAGATCTGTATATCAAGAACTTTGAGTCTCTAAAGAACGAAATCAAAAAGAGGATACCAGAAAATGGAAAGATCCACCATGCTCTTAGATTGGTACGATCAACATAATAAAAATGGCAATCTTTCCAAAAGCAACCTACAGATTCAGTGCAATCCCTATCAAAATACCAGCACAATTCTTCACAGACCTTGAAAGAACAATAATCAACTTTATATGGAAAAACAAAAGACCCAGGATAGCCAAAACAACCCTATACAATGAAGGAACTTCAGGAGGTATCACCATCCCTGACTTCAAGCTCTATTACAGAGATATAGTTCTGAAAACAGCTTGGTATTGGCACAAAATAGACAGGTAGAACTATGGAATCAAATTGAAAACCCTGATTTTAACACACACACCTATGAACACTTGATTTTTGACAAAGATGCTAAAATTATACAATGGAAAAAGGAAAACACCTTCAACAAATGGTGCTGGCATAGCTGGATATTGGCATGCAGAAGACTGCAGATAGATCCATGTCTATCACCTTGCACAAGTTAAGTCCAAATGGATCAAAGACCTCAACATTAATCCAGCCACAATGAAATTCTTAGAAGAGAAAGTGGGAGTTACTCTTCAATGACTTGGTACTAAATAGAGGATTCTAAATATTGGAGTCTAAAATGGCCGAGAGACATTTGAGAAAGTGCTCAACATCCTTAGTCATCAGGGAAATGCAAATCAAAACAACTCCGAGAAAACATCTCACCCTGTCAGAATGGCTAAAATCAAAAACACTAGTGAAAATTTATGCTAGAGAGGATGTGGAGAGAGAAGAATACTCCTCCGCTGCTGTTGGGAGTGCCAACTTGGACAGCCACTTTGGAAATCAATATGAAGATTCCTCAGGAAAATGGGAATCAGTCTACCACAAGACCCAGCAATTCCACTTTTAGGCATATATCCAAAAGATGCAAATTCATACAACAAGGACATCTGTTCATAATAGCATTACTTGTAATAGCCAGTACTTGGAGCAACCTCGATGCCCCTCAACTGAAGAGAAAATGTGGGGTACATTTACACAATGGAGTACTATTCAGCAGAAATAAAATGGAATCTTGAAATTTGCAGGCAAATAGATGGCACTAGAAGAAACCATCCTGAGTCAGGTAACTCAGTCACAAAAAGACAAACATGGTATGTATTCACTCATATATGGATTTTAGACATGGATCAGGGGAGTGTCAGTCTGCAATTCTCCTGACAGATAGTCTGGGAAACAGGAAATAGCCTAAGAGAGATATGCATGGTAGCTCATAGATGAGGAATGAGGCAAGATCTCCTGAACAGATTGGGAGTATGGCGGGGGTGGGGAGGAGTGGGAGCTGGGAAGAAGAGAGGGGGAGAAGAGGAGGAGAAAGTTTATCATGGGGCAGCAGGAAGGTTGAGTTGGGGG